ATATTTGAACTTTGTAGAATAACTTCATATATAACATTGAAGAAAGTAAATGTAGTTCAATGGCTAAATTAATAGAATAGACTTTGCAGTATGTAAATGCTGCAGTATATAAATGTAATCTTGGGCTGGGAATGGAACACTTTCCCCTTCAAGTTCAGTATCAAAATCATGTTATTACCCAATAATAAACTACCCAGACTTTGAAACAATGCCGTTCACATACCCGCAGTGAGGTTTAAGGACTATAGGTAAATATGAAAGCTTAACACACACTAATAGTTGGAAATGACAAACCCTTTGGGTTAAGTCACACCAAAAAAGTTGTGTGACAATTAATTTAGAAGGTGGAATTTAAAGATTGCAGTTTTTTCTGTGTGAAACAAAATGTAAAATAAGACTTCCAAAGACATGTTATATATGGTTTTTCGTCGCTTATGTTACAAAAATAAGTATAGCTGAAAGTGCGTGAGAATATTTTGAAACTAAATTCACAGAAATTAGAGTATGAATATCTATCTGATCATTAATACTGTAATGTATTAATGTAAGTATACTCAAAGAACATAGATTCAAAAGAATTAAATTCAGACCTTTGCAATCATAGGCAGAACTTCATATAATTTCTTCTTTAACTGTCTTTAAAGTATGACAATTGTATATAATATATACCCATCTTTCAGTAAAAAAAAAAAAAAAAATATAAATTTACTGCACAAAGCAAGTATGTGGTTTTGCTAAATGATATCAAATAAATTGCATTTGTTCAAATTTTTTTGAAAAAAGTAAAAAGATCTTGTACGTAACAATAAGGATTTTAAAACTCTCATTTTGGTCCTTCTGCTCATTGTTTTTTGAATTTCTTGCTTCTTTGCATTTCTCTTTGTCTTACACAGACCACCAGACTACACCCACAATCACATTTGGGAAACTTTCCTGACATATGGTTTCTGCAGTTTCCCTCTGCTTTTCATCACTGGTAGAAGGTTCTGTCCTTGTGTTTAGCTGATTTCACAGACGATTACTGAAACTCTTCTTTTACTTGCTGCTGGATTGTTCACATATTATTCCATCAGTTTAATTGAACTGTATTCCTTTACAAAATGTGGGAAGTATAAGCTTGTTAGAAGAGAAATTTAACAAGTAGGGTTATAATCAGCTGGAAAGAAAATATGTACAGGTAGGAAAACATAAAATGTACATATTCCTTCATTAAGATGGGATACAGATTATCTTATCTCTTCATGAAACATCTTTCAAGATCGTGAATAATAATACACAGATGTCTGAACTGTGGAGAAAAGCAGAATCATTTTCATGTATAGCAGAGCCCCTTTCAAATCTTGGACACTTTACTGTAGTTACCTGTTGAACAGAAGCCTTTCTCATTTGTTGAGCCAACATTTAGGCACAAGGTAATGCCCACTGCTGTAGTAATTTTCAAGTAATTCAAGTAAATGGAAAATATTTCATTTTCTTTCCTTCTCCTGTGTCTGCTCATTTAGCTGTCAAGCCCTCTTGTAGGTATAGGTAAGAAATGTCTGTGTAGGATCTTTCTTTGTAACCCATTATCTACTGCCTTCGGTCAAATTTAAAAGTTTCAAGACAGATGTGAAAACTGATGCTGAGAAATACCAGTTTTATTCAAGTGATTGTCTGTAGATACATTTACGTTGTGGTATGTATACACGTACAATGACAGAGAAACGTTTATGCTAGTGTGTCCATGGGAAACATGCTGTACGCCCACCTCCCTTTACACACAGCTCACGTGGTGACGGAAGTGGCAGAGCGCTGCCCTTTCTTCTTGGCTTCTCTCAGCTGCTTTTCTGAGTCACAAACCTGTATTATCCTTCTTCTGTATAAATATTTAGATCCTCTTTTGGTTTCTGTAAGGACCTCTGTTATTTGTTCATTCTGGATTTTTTAGGACTTCGGCACAAATTTTGCTTTTGGATACTACCCTTTTTCCACATGCTGTGGCTTCTGGTTTTGACCCTCACGCTATATGGCTTTAATCTCTCCCTTCCAGTCTCAAGAATTGCACTGCCTGTAGTGGAAAATATTTTGTTCCTGATGGATCTACCCACTGCTTTTGCTTTCTGTTGAGAAGGAAACATCACAGCTTAAATTTCTGATTGGCATTCAGACACAGAACTAAAAAAACATTAACTGCAGCATCTTCTGGAATTTTTATTTACCAAGTCCATGAGCAAATTGATAGATTTGCTCAGCAAGGCTAACACAATACAATTGGACACTACTCTGTTCATAAATCAGCCCCCAAAAAGAAATATATCAAAATCATTCTTGGTCTCACGGTCACTCCCTAGCCCTAGGAGAGTTTCGGGAGAGTGGCTGATAGGTTTTATTCAAAATTCTCCTATTGACCTGTTGAAGGAAGCAAATGAAAGCAATTCCACTTGCAGACCTTTCTTTCCATCTCTGCACATTTACCATCACTGAAGTGCACAGGCTAAAATTTTTTCTACAAAGTTACTGCTAACCATTTACCCAGTCACTTTTACTCTTTTTCCAATGTAATACCAGTTTGACAGCAGGCTATCCAATGCCACCTGCAGATGCGCCACCACGATGTCACCAAGAATCTCCTCTGACCTATTTTCAATTGCCCGTTTCAGTAACCTTTGAGAAGGGTACTATTCAGGCACTAATGGCATACTTTTAGTAAATAGTTCCACAAAAATTAGATTACCATCAAAAAACACCTGAAGTTCTTGCCCACAGTGGTTTCTGACCTATATCTATTTTGTAATCAATAATTCATGTGCTTTTCTTAAGTCTTATGTTTCTACAGAAATCTTTAAGTTAGCCATAGCCAGTTAGTCATTTGCTAGTTTCTATATCCATTGGACAAAGAACTTTAAGAGAACCAGTCATCTTTCCAGATCTACATCTGAAAAATTGAAAATCTAACAGAAAATGTGAGGCTGAATTATAGATTGTATAAAGAAGTCCTGCTAAAACCCAAGTATCTGTGCTTAGTATAGAGGTCCACTCAAAGTAACTGATGGACTCATTCAAGTAGAAAAGGTGCTTTCTCCAGATTACATTGCAATACTTGATATCATCAGGTTAGGCACTTGTAGTTACATCCACCCCTTTGCTAACTGTTATGTTTACAATGAAGTTTCTGAAAATGCTGCTGCATTTTTCAATATTGTCTTTCAGGCTCTGTATCCTAGGCATCCTAAGAACCCCTTCTAGATAGTTGTTGGCAAACTGTTGCATAGAGTTACCCACAGATTGAATAAACGTGTAAAAAATCATTTGAAGATGTAGATGTTTTTCTATTCTGGCATTGTTTCTGTCCACAAGGAAAATGAAAAAGGATTGTGTAAACTAATGTCATCTTATATGGTGGAACATCTTACCAAAGAGAGAGATACATTTCTTTCCAAGCATCTCAGTTTAATGGAGTGCAATGAGTTGGTGTACAGTGTTGGTCAGTGACTATGTAACTTAATCACTTGAGAATTTGTGCTTAAACAAAACTTAGATTTATACCGTTAGTGCTTTTAAGGGGGCATGAAGTACTGTATGCTGCATGTCACTTTATCAGATACTGACAGTTCCTCTTTGCTTCTTGAGGCAACCAAATGAATTCCATACCCGTTAGTTCAGTCTCACAGTGCCAAAACTGCTGGTTTTCTCTGGTTTACACATTGACACATAAACATGTGCTTGATAATATGAGTTCACTAATAAACACAGGAGTGTGAGAACAGCCAATGATGTGTCAGACGAAAAGTTCACTAACAGTGGTTCTGTTTCTCATGCTAGCCCACGAGGAATGCCTGAGGAAAGGTAGATGAACAGGCCAAACTTGTAGCTGTGGTTCCCTCCCGAGAATGTTCTTCCACCTTGAAAAAATCTGTGGCTCAGGGACTTTCTAAATCAGAGGGAATACTTTTATATTGAATAACCCTTAATGAATTTTCTTTTTCTGTGAATTTTTCCAGTTAATTTCTAACATGTAAACTTCTAACAGCTGCTGCAATCCTGCTCCAAGGACTTCAACATCTTAAGTATGCTTTGTTTGAAAACAACTTTGTTTTATTCTGAACATGCCACCTGCTAATTTCATCTGATGCTCCCAGGTCTTCTCCTAGGAAAGATATCCCTGTGTGCCCTTTCCATTCTACACACCTCTATCATACCGCTCCTCATTTTTCTCTTTTATAGCCTTGAGTGTCCTAGTTGGTTAGTCGTTCCTTCTACAGAGCAGTTATCTACCTTTGATTATTCTTGTCTTTCTCTAAACCTTTTCTAATTTTATTATAACTTTTTCAAGATGGAAAAGATGGGGCAGATCTGCATACTGTATTCAAGATCAAGGCAGACTGTTTAGTTTTCTATTTCTTTTCAAAGAGCATACGTAGGCATTTTTCCAGGGTTGTGTTTGTGTCCTTTAGTCATTTTTTACATTGATTGTTTGTAGTCTGAGGTGCATCACGGTTCTCCCACAGCTGCTGTCATGTACTTGTGTAATCTGTCCTCTTAAATATTCCTGAATATTATTTGCATTGATACAAGAAAATAATATTACCACTCCTTTGTCTCAGCTGCCAGACTTAATGTGGGAAATGGAAGACACTATGAGAACCTGAACAGGGGTGTCTATTGCTGTTTTAGCTGCCCTAAGGTATGTGGGGCATTCACCTGGCAAATATGATACAGCAGATAAGGGAGATTTGCACACTTCTGAGTGACAGCTTAAGGCCATAAAGAATACTGTGTGGTATCTAAAATGACACTAGATGCCTTTAGGCATTGAATTTCTGCCTAGGTGGTGGTATGTAAAACAGTCTAACTCTCATGTCAATCAAGAGAGCTTTGAGTTCCAAATTAGCCATATTTCTTGGTGAAGGCAACACAGCAATAGCTGCAATATTGAATAATGCCAATCTCTTTTTTTTAACATTCATATATAAATACAGATTGAATATTTTAAAATAATGTTTCTTTTGATTCTCATTTAGGATTCTGGGGAAATGGTTCGATCCTTTGTTGGTGGCTTGGAACTGATAGTCCGTTTGCTAAAATCAAAGAATAAAGAAGTTTTAGCAAGTGTATGTGCAGCCATTACAAATATAGCTAAAGATGAAGAAAATTTGGCTGTTATAACAGACCATGGAGTTGTCCCTCTGTTGTCCAAACTAGCAAACACGGTAAGTAACATCTAAACCTATTATACTAAGTATCTGAATTTATGTCAGACTGCACTATATACCCAGCTAAAAGGTGATGACAAGAGCAGTAGATTTTGCAGCAGCTACAAGGAAGAACAGTAGAATCCTTCCTCTGTGAGCTGTATGTTGAACATGAAAATACTCTGTGGCTGGTACTAAAATTGCTTTGGAAGATGAACTTCATTTTAATAGACACTGTCACTGAATATTGCTTTTGAGAGATGCAGTTGCCATATGAAAAAAGCGCAAAGGACTGAGAGAACAATAAATCTGAACCGTGCAGAGAATCTCAATGATGGTACTATACGTTACATTTTAATGCTAGTCTTGTCTAATTTCCAGTCAGTCTAAAAGCACCTTTGAAATAATATAAAATTTCATGGCACTTCTTACAGAGTACTAAGGGACTAATAGCTCCATGCCTTACCGCTTTCTCCAGTTTTCAGTTGTACTGCAGTTAAATTGGGATGCCATAAAGATGTTTGAGAATACAGTTCTGCTTTCCTATGAAATTTTTATTGTATCGTGTTTTCTTTAATTTGTTATGTTTTTACCTTCTTCAGAACAATGACAAATTAAGACGTCACTTAGCAGAGGCCATTTCCCAGTGTTGCGTGTGGGGGAGCAATAGAGTTACCTTTGGAGAGACCAAGGCTGTAGCTCCTTTAGTACGTTACTTGAAGTCAAATGATCCATCAGTTCACAGAGCTACAGCTCAGGCTTTATATCAGCTTTCAGAGGAACCCAGCAACTGTATCACCATGCATGAAAATGGAGTGGTGAAGGTGAGATAGAAGGTTTTTCTTATTTGGAGTTCAAATTGTTGAAGGGGTTTGGCATGGTCAAAAGAAGAGATCTTTCATTTGAAATAGTTTTTGAATACTGCTGTGTACCTCAAAATTTCTCAACTTTATCCTAAAAATGTTTGGTTAAGTAGTGAATTAAGGAACAGTATTTCAGTGCTACAGATATTACAGCTAGGTGGTTGTTAGGAATGGAAATATGTTGTGGACATTCACCTCTAGAGTACTTGCCTTTGACCTAGGCTAGCAATGATGTCACATCAGCATTTTGTCATTTTCAAATTACTTTTTCAAAAGAAGTTGGGTTATCGTAATGGATAGTTGCCTAGTATGGCAGAAGGTCACCTAGGAATTGAGTGTGACTGGATTTGGGGACAAATTAAGAGAGAATAATACAAAGGCTTAGTTTCGCCTGGAGCTGTTTCAGTGAATTCTGCATTTACTTATAAAACTTCTGATTTTAGGAGTTAAATATGAGCACATTCTGCAAAGATCACTCTCTAGAAAGAATTTTTATCTCAAAAAGATATTCATAGCAAAGTTTTATCTCACTGGTTGAAGCCAGTAGAGTTACAGGAGAGATGAGGATTATGGCCTTAGAGATGGAGATTGTAGGAGGTCTCAATTTTCATAAATTTCCTGAAAGATTCACTGTTTGCAAACTTTTCGTTTTACTTCATGTTTTTGCTTGCACTAATGATTGTCCACTTCATTGTGAGCAGTTTCAATTCTGGCACAATCTAATGGTCCTGCATTATATATTACAGATTTATACATATATCTGTAATTGGCTATATCTGCAGTCGGGTTAAAAAGATCCACTGGTCAAAAATGTTTAAAGACTCAGTTTAAATGCCTGTACTTGAACTGACTCAGATCTAAGCTGCTCTTTCAGTGCTAGAAAGTAACATCTTCCCACCACAGTTGGGTTATACTGGCTACACAGCACAGGGGAATATATACTATACTACAGGTCAATTTGAAACTAGTGTCTGGTGACTTTTTAATGTTGCTTGTCTTTCCACACAGCTGACACAACCCATTTTCTGCTCTCCTGTCATCTGGTTTTTTAGATTCATTTTATTACACAGATTTTAGGTTTTATAAGTTGTAGCACAATGAACATTCTGTATAAAGCCAATTCAGATCATACACTTTTGTTATAACTTTATCTCCATCTAGGTTCATCTTTATTTTTCAGAACTAGTTAGACTAATTAAAAGCATTTATTTTTACTTGCAGATAAATAGGGATGTATAGAAAAATATCACAGGTGGTTAATTTTTTTATTATTCACAATAATGTGGAATGACTATAATATGTTAAGGGAGAGGAAAGAGAACTGATAAAAGGAAGAACAAAACTACGAAATAAAGGAACTTGAGTTATGTTTGTTGCATCTAAACTTTTTATCCAGGGTGCGCTTCTCATGTACAAGAAATTTGTATTTTTGTAGTGCAGTGGACGAGTATTTGAATGTGGGTCCATCACAGAACTGAAGTAGGAGTGTCTCTCATCTCATAACTGATGGATATCTGACCAGTTCTCATCACACACGCGTGTGCCAGCACACACGTGTATTTGTATCATACAAGCAGATGTGCATTGGTAATATGACAGGTAGCAGCTGTATTTAACTAACAGCCAGGGTAGCAGTTGTGCTGAAAAGGACCTGGAATGTAGGTTCACCAAGCTGAACATGAGCCAGAGGGTGCCCTGGGAGTGATGAAGCCTAACAGGATCCAAGGCCGTGTTAGCAGGAGCGTAGCCAGTAGATCTGGGGTGGTGACCTAAATGGATCAGGGATGGTGACTTACTAAATCACATCAGGAGTACCATGTTCATTTTGGGCTCCAGGTGCAGTGGAGGGCCACAAAGATGGTTGCAGACTGAAGCACATGACTTGTGAGGGAACTGAGCTTGTCTAGCTTTGAGAAAGAAGGCAGCAGTGCCTAATAGCAGCCTGACAGTATCTAAGAGAATTTTATCAAGGAGACAAAGGCTCAGTATCCAGAAACAGTCACTCTGTCTAATGTGCTAGAAACCTTCTTCACTATACTTAGTCAGATGAGTATCTCAAAATAAATACTATCAGAAGAACAGATTTAATCACTCTGTTGTTTAGATGCTATGGGAGATGTGTAAGATAAAGCGTCTGAATTCCACTCTGTGTCATTCAGAAATGAAATATTCATCCTATAAACAGAAAATTCACATTAATTTTAGTTCAGGGCTGCAAATATACGTGACTAAGAGATGCAGTGCTATCCCACATACCTTGAAGTATTTCAAAATTCCGTAAGGTTTGACTAGTTCTCCTCTGTAGTTCACAAGATCTCAGTTTTGGGGGGAAAGCAGTCTGACTGCAAACAAATCGGGTTCTCTAATGCATCTTTAAAATGCAGCCAAACCTGATCAAGAATAAAGAGATTTGATAACGTTAAGGTAAAAAAGTGACTGCATGTTGCCATGAAGGACATGAAATAATTCTTCATAGCTAAGCATCACAATGTGCAAAAGTCTTGGGAAGGATTTTTGGAAGTGATTCAGAATATCAGTGAAATCACCTCTAAGCTTGAAAGGTTGCACTGTTGATTCATGTCGTAAGCTCTTCAGTTTGGTAGACTGGAATCTCTTCCTGGCCAGGAGGTGACTGTGAACCAAATACATAGCCAGGAAAAGAAACATAATTCCTTACTGCTCGTTTCTCTTACTGGCAGTAAAAAATGAAACATCCTTGGAAGACACTAATTTACCTGAAGGTAAATACTTGCTAGTCCTCCCAAAAGCAAAAATAGTGGATGTTTGGTGGAGTACGTTTTCAGATAAACTAAATCAAACTAGTCAGATGGTTGATGTCATCAATACCAAAGACTGTCAGCCAATGCAGTCAAATGTGCCGAATAAGAGTAAATCTTTAAGAAGAGATCTGTCCAGCTCTTCAAGTAAGCTGTCATCTTTTCAGTGTCCTACTGAAGTCTGTGTGTTTAGTGTAGAATCTGAAGTCCTAGAGTCACCCACCAAATGTGTAACAATTTACGATTGCAAATTTAGCCTTGAAAAGAAGTTCGGTACTTTTGAAATTAGAAGATATTAGTTATTTTAAGAAATCCATCCATCTGAAGAAGTTATTTAAACACATCCCATAATTAGTGCTAAGAGCTATGAATAAGTAGGTAAGCTACATGGAATTATCTTATTCCTGCACATATTTAATTTTTGGGGGTTTTTGTTTTCAACTAAATTCAACTGAACATTCATGGAAGTGCTTAATTACAAATGCTGCAAACAGTCTGGAGAATATGAAAGTCATTACATCTAAACAAACAAAAACATTCTTCACAAATAATAGTCTGTATTTTTAATTATCTAGATATTTTTAAATATAATTTTTTGTAACATAGTAAGAATAAATGGAGCTGTTATTAAAGCTTTATTCCTTTAAGTCTTTAAGAAATCCTTAACACAAGGTGAATTGATAAAATGGGTAAGTCTAAACAATAAAATCCTGGAGTAGTTCCCAGCTCTTATGTCCAAGTACGTAGCCCAGCCACATACTGATTGCACATTAGGACTAAACCTGGATGCGTACATTCTGATCTGTGTCAAAAAAAGTGCAGGTGCAGAACTGGAACCACAATATATATAGGAACAATTTGGTATCAGGATTGCAGGGCATATTGCAAAATGTGTTTGCCTTTCAACTAGGATATAGCCAGAGAGAATCCACTACCAGCGTGCATGTTGAACTTAACGTGGCTCAGAGATCCGTGTTAATAAACTGTGAAAAACCTGTTCTCCCTAAGCCATAAAGTGACAAAAGTGCAGTGAGAGGTCATCAGAGCTGACTCGCGTGAGCCTTCTTACTTGTCTAGCTTTGGTAGCATGCAGCTCAGTGTCAGACAATTTACCTTATTCTAGTACTATGACTGCAGTATAGGCATATCCATTTTTTAAAAAGTGTGTAGTTTGGTTTTGCACCTATTTTTCAGGAAATAGAATTCTTCCACCCACAAAAAAAACCAATACGCATGGTCATTAGAGTTTCTAACCCTAAATAAAGCCTGGTTTAATTAGCAATTATCCAGCTCTGATGTTTCCAACCACTTTCTAATGCTTACATGTTGTGTTATACCTAGAATGGCAAAGTGGCAAAGCAAAGTGAAGTAACAAATCGGCCTTTCCAGAGGATATATCAGACCAGTGAGACATGGTGGTTCCTATCCAGTGAGGATGCCCATATAATATGTGAAGCATGGTGGGCACTCTGAGAAAATATGTTCTGTTGGATCTATGATAGTTTCTCCATATGTGCTAGTCTACATGCTTTTGTTATGTGTTGCTAGAGCTAAGCAGATCATGAAGCAAATCAACACACGCACTATGACAGCTCAGGGCACAGCTGGCCAATCTGCCAATGCTTATGAGCTTGGCAAGAATCAATTACTGGAGTTTCAGAAAGGCTAAAGAGGCATTCCCAGATGGCAAGGAGAGTGGGTGGAGGAGATTTAGTTGCTCAAGTGTGAGTGTTAGTACAATGCTGAATCTTGCCTGGTCTATTCAGTTGGTCTGCCCGGCACAGGTGAGACAGTGTTGCAGCACTGTTTCTGTGCTATTGTGTGTCTTGGCACCATGCTTCTCAGTGATGACAGAATGTTCGGGTGTTTTCATTCTTCTAGCCTCTCAGTGAATAGCTGACTGAAAGCATACTTTGGCTTTATGTTGGGGTTGTTATGTACAGATTTTCCAGGATCAATCATATTTTCGATTCTGGAAAATTTGTCTGGGTTCCTTCGATATTTTTTCATCCTTTTACCAGATATCTGGTGTTCCAGTAATCATGCCCAGTTGGATTAATGTCACAGCTGCTGTAGCTCTGATTAGGCTGCAATACATGCATAATCCCAGGTGTTCTTCAGCGCATGTTCATGTGCTGTGTTCACATGCACAGAAAGTCTGGTGCTTCAGGGAAACTTTTACTC